TGCTTGCAAACACACGGTGTTCGGTAGGATTCTGACATGAACGCGCGCGTGTGCTCTTTGTGGTATTTTTTGCAATGGATTATCGCCGTGGACGACAGGACGTCCATGTCGAGAGGAAAAAATAAGAAAAATGTTGATTTTGTATTGTTTTTTACAGGTTAGGATGGGACCCCCGGATGCGGCCCCTATGGCCGGCCTGAGGGGGGAGTAGGAGTATATTCTAATAAGGAATAAGGATAGATGTAGGAATAGGAGTAGGAGTAGGAGTAGGAGTAGGAGTAGTAGTAGTAGTAGTAGTAGTAGTAGTAGTAGTAGTAGTAGTAGTAGTAGTAGTAGTAGTATAGTAGTAGCAGTAAGTAGAGTAGAAGTAGTAGTAGTAGTAGTAGTAGTAGTAGTAGTAGTAGTAGTAGTACTAGTACTAGTAGTACTAGTAGTACTAGTAGTAGCAGTAGGAAGAGGAGGAGGAGCAGGAGGAGGAGGCGAAGGAGGAGGGGGAGAAGGATAGGGAGGAGGAAAAGGAGGAGAAGGGGGAGGAGGAAGAGACAGAGGGGTGAGGAGGATCATTTAGAGGAAGGGGGACCAGGATGATGATGATGATGATGATGATGCTGATGCTGATGATGATGATGATGCTGGTGATGATGCTGCTGCTGATGATGATGATGAGGAGGAGGATGATGATGCTGACGATGATGACGATGCTGGTGATGCTGATGGTGGTGATGATGATGATGATGATGATACTGATAATGATGAGGATGATGAGGATGATGATGATGCTCATGATACTGCTGCTGATGATGATGCTGATGCTGATGGTGATGATGATGATGATGCTGCTGATGATGATGCTGATGCTGATGGTGATGATGATGATGATGATGATGATGATGATGATGATGATGATGATGATTGGGTTGATGATGCTGATGATGATGATGCTGCTGCTGATGATGATGACGATGCCGATGATGATGATTAGGATGATGATGATGAGGGTGATGATGATGATGATGATGATGATGATGATGATGATGATGATTGGGTTGATGATGATGATGATGATGCTGATGATGATGCCGATGATGATGGTGATGATGATGATGATGATGATGCTGATGATGATGATGATGACGATGATGATGATGATGATGATGATGATGATGATGATGATGATGATGATGATGATGATGAGGAGGAGGAGGAGGAGGATGAGAGGATGCTGCTGATGATGCTGATGATGATGATGATGATGATGATGATGACGAGGGAGGAGAGGAGGAGGAGGAGGAGGAGGTAGAGGAGGAGGTGGATCGAGGAGGAGAGGGGGAGAAGGATGGGAGGGAGGAGGAGGAGGGGAGGAGGAGGAGGAGGAAGGAGGAGGAGGAGGAGGAGGAGGAGGAGGAGGAGGAGGAGGAGGAGGAGGGGGAGGGGGAGGGGGGAGGGAGGAGGAGGAAGCAGAGGAGAAGGAGGAGGAGGAGAATGATCAGGAAGAAGAGGAGGAGGAGGAGGAGGAGGAGGAGGAGGACACCGAGACTGAGGGGGGACCAGGAGAAGGAAGGAACTGAGGAGGAGGAGGCGGATGGTATAGAGGCAGGGGGAAGAGACGGATGAGAAGGAAATGCAGGAGGAGAGGAGGACGAGGAGGAGGAGGAACAGGAAGGAGGAGGAGGAGGAGGAGGAGGAGGAGGAGGAGGAGGAGGAGGAATAATAAGGCAGATGAGTAGAGAGCAGGACTAGGAGGATGAGGAGGATAAGAAGGAGTTTGAGATAATGAAGAGGAGTGGCAGGACTGACGGAGGATGGTGAGAAGTAGTTATATCGCAGGGGATGCAGGACTGTGAGGGAGGAGTAGGATGCGGAGGAGGACCAGTGTAAACCCAAGACTCATCAACGATGTTGCAGTAGACCCTCCCCCTCCCTCCGAGTACCCTCTGCATGGACCCTACAAGGAGTCTTTTAACTGATGGGAGTGCCCCGTTGGAAGGTAACCGCTTGAACATCCGCAACAGTGCCAAAGCCTGGGACTTCGACTCCGCGAATCAGCGTTAATGCAACGTCCGGGCGATCCTGGCTCGTGTCAGAACACAGTTCCTGGAGCTGCAACACCGCGAATCAACGGGACTGCTGCGCCCTGAACGCCCTTCACCGTGCCAGAACACCATCTACGGGATGTCAACGCCGAGAACAGTTGAAGCAGCTGTTAACTCTTAAGACGAGCCAGCGCGGCGCTAAGACGATCTTCACCTTTTGAAGCGGAATCGCCCTCCAGACGTGAAGCTCTTGCAAACATTTGCGGCGAGTGTGGGCGGCGCTCAGGCGAGAGCCACATTGTGGAGGTCGCTCGCCCTCTATCCGTGACGCTTTGTTCTGTAAACTATTAGACGCATGTGCGCAGCGTTTACGCGAGTTGACAGCCACCCGTCCTCCACTGTGAAACTGTTTGGGAGGATATGCAGGGGGAGGAGGAGGAGGAGGAGGAGGGGGACGAGGAGGAGGAGGAGGAGGAGGAGGAGAAGGAGGAGGAGGAGGAGGTTGAGAAGGACGAGGAGGAGCAATGAAGGGGGAATCAATGCGGATACGGAAACGGACAAGGTGGATGAAGACGAGGAGGAGGCGAAGGATGAGGAGGACGAGGAGGAGGACGAGGAGGACGACGACAAGGATTCACGATGAGGAATATTGGGGAGGAGGACGAGGACAATCTTGGCTGGACGGCGGGGAAGAGGATGATCAAGGCAGACGCTGGTGCTACTGGCAGGAATATGACAGGGTCGCTGCATCTGCGGCGCACGCCTCGACTAGTCTCGTCTGCTTTCGTGCACCTTCTCCTTCTTGTTTGAGGTGATGCTGGAGGGGAGGGTGGAAGGGGAATGGGGGATGAGATGGGTGAAGGGGTAAAAACATGGGTGGGGAGTGGAGGTGGGGAAGGACATGATAAGGGAGCGGGCGATGGAGGGGGTGTGAAGATCCTCCTCCTCCCTCCTCCCTCCTCCAGGTGTCTCCGCAGGTGCCTGGATGTCCCCAGGGGCCTCTCAGGGCCAAAGAAGGGCTGAACTGCCCAGAACTCTCGATCCTTGCACCTCGATCGATCCTTGAACCTCGATCGATTCTTGACCCTCGAACCTCGATCGATCCTCGATCCTCGATCGATCGATCCTCGAACCTCGATCGATCCTCGAACCTCGATCCTCGATCCTTGATTGTGTTTACGGGGGATCGTGGCCTCAGGATGGGGGGGGACCGTCGTGTCCCCCCCCCCTTGCCGCCCGATTGTTGTGCTTTAGTTTCTGGGGGTGCCGTTGTTTCCCATCAGCACTTGTGGCACCAGGGGCAGGACCCCCTAGATGTTGTACAAGGGAGCGGGGCCTCAAAGGCGCGGAGTCACAGTGCTGTTTTGTGTTCCATTGCGTACGTAAACGCACAAACTGGAAAAATACAGCGCTCGTGGCGTCGGAGGCGTGGGCACGTTGTCCGATGATGCTTGTCTTGCCGCTGACTTGGGTGTCTCCTCGCTCTTACCATTCTCGTCGTACTTCAGTCTCCCAGAGCTCTACGCCCACGCCGCCATCCCTCCTCCCGCCATCCTCCGAACTCCCGCCACGCTATTCCCTACTCCCCCTTTTTCCGGCTTTTCTTACCTCTCTTCCTCCTCCTCCTCGTCCTCTTCCTCCTTCTCCTCCCTCATTTATCTTCCTTCCCTATCCATCCTCCTCCTCCTCCTCCTCCCTCTTCCCCGTCCCCTCCTTCGCCTATCACCCTCCCGCCTCCCTCACTTCGCCTGCCTCTGCTCCTTCTTTTCTTCTTCCTTCGCCCCGCCCGAGCCCGCCGAGTGTCACCCGCGCACACGGGGACCCCCGGCGCGGCTGATCTTGGCCACGCGTTCCGTGTTTGACGTCGTGGCCTCCTCGTCTGTCGGGCGGGGTCCTGCGGTCTGCGGGTCCTCGCTCCGCGTGCCCTTCCTCGACCAGCTGCCGCCTCTGTCTCACGTCGGCTCTGGCGTCCTGCCCCCGTGCGGCTCTCTCTCTTGTGTGTGTGTGTGTGTGTTGGTGGGGGGCGGCCTCTCGGGGGGTCTGTCCCGGTGGCCCTCCCCGTCCGCTCTCTTTCCGGGCCTCCCACCGACTGGGGCTTCGCATCGTTGTCCCCCCGCCTCCTCCTTCTCCTCCTCCTCCTCCTCCTCCTTCTCCTCCTCGTCCTCCTCTTTCTCCTCCTCCTGCTCCTCCTCCTCCTACATCCTTCTCCTCCTCCTCCTCCTCCATCCTCCTCCTCCTCCTCCTCCTCCTCCACTTCCGCGACGGCAGTGCATGGATCAGCTCCCAGGGGCCCGCTCGAGCGCGAGATTGCGAAGATGGTGAACAATGCGAAGTAGCTCATCCCGCCCTAGCGCCTCGCGCGGGAGGCACGGATAGGAGACGGGGGCAATTTTTTAGCAGCTCTCAAAGACTAGCGGAGCTGGAGGCTAGAGGCAGCATCAGTGCCGAGACCGCGGCAAGGGCTCGCTCGGGAGCCGTGCTGGTGAGCAGCTATGCTGACGATGCCCTTCCTGCCCATCCGCTGGTGTTTCTACCAGGCTACGGCCGCGGCGCGCCAGGCAGACGTGGTGGGCGCGGACGTCGTGGTGGTGGGCGTGGCTCTCGTGCCTGAGTGGGCGCCTTCCGCAGGGTTGCGTGCCTTAGGGGGGTTGCCCGCGGGCCTGTGCCCCAAAGGGGAGCGCAGGCAGGGTTCACAGAGCTATTTTTTTCCTCCGCGTTGGGGTTGGAGTGCCCCGTCTCAGAATCCAGCTGCACGCGATGATGGCACGAGGCGATTGCTTAGTTGCTCAGTCAAGGCAGGACACTGGTGGATTCCTCGAGGTTCGCTCGCTCGCTCGCTCCTCCACTTCCTCCTCCTCCTCCTGCTCCTCCTCCATCCTCCTCATGCCTCTTCCTCCTCCTCCTCCTCCTCCTCCTCCTCCTCCTCCTCCCCTCTCATGGTGGATGTATGGGGGAGGGCAGGTCAGA